GAGGAGAGCTGCCAGAGCATGCTAGGCCTCCCCTCTGCAGAGGACCATTATGCTCACATCTGCGGGACAGACTGAGGCTTCTGGAGTGCTCATGGCCAACTTGGATTCCAGTTTTGCCTGCTGACATACCTTCAAACAGGGGCAGGGCTGAAGGAGGGCTGTCAAAGCACTGCCTGCTGCTATTCACATCCCTAAAAAAGGATTTAAAAGTCTGAGGTGCCCAGTGCTTACACAGCCCTGTCCTACAGCTGAGAAGGGACATAGGCGCCTTGCCAGGAGCCCAGGTTTGCAAGCAGCAGTGGGTATTGCACATCCTCTTGACACAGCTGTCACAACCCTGTTGGACACTGGGGCCAAATGCCACTTAGTCCCCAAATCATAGCCCTGCAGGGGAGATTTGAGGGTGTCTGGGCTGAGATGGTGGCAGAGGACATCTGGGGGTTGTTAGCAGCAGGTTTCAAAGTCACCCTCCTCCCTTGCACCAATCAAATAAATCTCATGGGGGTGTAATGCATCATAGCACTTTAATCCTGCTGGGGATAAAGTGGATTACAATGCTATTTAGCTGGCCACTGTGAGCAGAGCCAAACTGTTGTAACAGGATTCAAATGCCTTCCCTAAGTCAGAGCAGATTTGCTTTTTGATTTAAAAAAATCACGAAATTACATCTTGGCCCCATAAACCATGTTACAACCCTTTTCAAACATAAGATTAAACTATTTATGCCCTCATTTGAATATGCTTCTTTTTGTAATTCAGCAAGTTCCTTGAAGTTCTGCAGAGGTGGAGATCAGTGTTTTTTACAGAGACTTTGTAAACACACATTTTTACTCTTTATAAGAACATTTTTCACACTCCCCAAAGAGTTAAAGTTGTGTGTAAAAAGCCAGTAACTCCTTGAATGAAGATCTGTTTTACCCAGGCGTATGCAGCATCTTGCCAAGCATCGGCACCTGGCAGGGCTGTGATTGCACTGCAGTCACCTGCCGTGTGTGGCTGGTTTTTGGGACAGGGATTGTTGCCAGCTAAGGCATGAGGATAACCCCCTGCACCTTCACCCTCTTCCCAGGGCGTAATTAGCAGTGCTGTGGATAATTGCTATTAACAAGGGGGGAAGTGTGAAGGAATTCATTGAGCCTCATCTCTGCAGGATCAGCAAACCCTAATCATTTTTTCCATGCACATGGAGCACCTGAAAACTTTCCCTGCACACTGGGACCTGCAGCCAGTGGCATAAATGGTGCTCCTTCAATTAATATGGTCTTGGAGGGAGCAGCCGCTTGGCTGAGGAGCTCTGTTGCTTGACTGTGTCTCCAAGGGGAGATGTCAGGTTGACCACACACTTGAATGAAGACAGGTTACAAGGTAATGTGTATAATATGACCGAAGATGAAGGTGACCTATGGAAGTGCGGTAAATAAGTGGTTTTCTCTGCTTGGCAAGTGAATTTTGATCCCCATGTAGCACTGTGCTGTAAGATGCTGCTGCTATGTCTGGGAAAGCTCATGGGAGGACAAAGAGCAGAAAGCAGCAAGAAGGACAAAGAGGCTCTGCAACAACACCCCCGTCTCCCCCCTCATTTGTACTCCTGACAAACCATCGAAACAGTGGGGGACATTTGCAAAATTGTCTTTCCTGTTTCAGGAATTGTCTTAGCCTATGTCAGGCTGTCGTGCACAGGGAAAACAGCAGCAGATCAATAGAGGTGTCTATGCTGACACTTCTACCGTCTTGCCCTTTAAGAAACACTGAAATGCTCATCAGCCTTCCTGATTAATGAGCCTTTCAGTGGGAAGAAATACATGGATTTCTTTCCAAGTGTGTGCTTCTCTACCAGCCTCTGGACCTCTCCTAAAGGAAGAAGTAAGTGATAGGCTCTGGTCAGGGTCAAAGGTCCAGGCTGTGATTATGATGACAACTTGCTGGCATAACTTTACAAGAGAGCCCCCTTGGTCCAGCTGTGGGTCTGTGACAGCAGAAGCTAGTACAACCTTTCGCTGCAGGGTACCCTGCTCTCTGCTGCTCACTGAGTGCTTTATGTGATGCCAAGTCTAACACACGTTGTGACCACCAACCATGGATCCTCCAGAGTGGGCTGGATCCCACTATCATCCCTGAACACTCCCTTGAAAGTGGAAGGAGCAAGAATGGAGGTCCTGCTGCAATTTGACTTTAATAGAGTTATGTGCGTTGGCACTGATTGAAGACCTGACCTGTATGAAGAATGTCAACCTGCATAATCACAGCAGAGTATGATGCCTGTCATTTATCATTTGCACCAATCAACCAGGAGACCCCGTGCACCAGTGTTGTGGAGATAGATACAGAATAAAATAATCCCTTTGCAAAGAGCTTACAGTTTTGGAGTTAGCACAAACATTTAAGCCTTGAGGAGAAGGGAGAGAAATGACATTGCTCCTAGCCCTTGTTTCCTAGCAGGCTTATATTCATCGACCGCAAACCTTAATACAGTTTTCACTCCACTTGTCAATTGTTAAGATAGATTTGGGGGCTGTCAACAAAATGTTACAGTCGAAATGACCCAGCTAGAAATAATAGACTATGAAACATATAGCCATAATACTGTAAACCAGCAGAGAGGAGTACATTTGGCCCTTTCATGTTTAATGGTCCCTCAGGTGTCATTTGAGAGCAAACACAGCCTTCTTGTGTATCCCTGGGGGAGAAGTGGGCACCCTGAGAAGCAGGTTCATCTGCCTTGTGTCTCACACCAGTTTTTGGACAAGGTGCCTTGCTTACTCGGAGCCAGCTGGTGTTGGCCCACAAGCTGCTACGGGTGGGAACTGATACTGTCATGCTGGGCACAGAGGGGTCCAATCCACCCATGTCCTCTGGATGCTGCCACGACGTGGTGATTCATTCCATACAGAGCTGATGGGAAACCAAACTGAACACCTGAGGAGTAGATCAGAGCTAAAGCCCACTCTATTTATGTGGCTTGATGTGAGCTGGGTAACTTGGGAGTACTTTCAAAGCATGTTTCGCTTTACAGACAGACAGGTTTTTCAGAGCAGAGAGGTTTCTTCTCAGCTTGTCTATCTGAATGATGTCTCAACAGGCTTCTGTGGAGAAACATTTGTTGTAGGGTTCCTAACATAACTTTATCAGAGGAGCAATTCCCATCCAGGTCAAGATGATTCTTACTGGGGCTTCGCTAACACATCAGACCTTTTCCTAGAGGGTCCTGTTTGTTCACAGGAGAGTTTTGCATCCAATGCCCACATTCAAATTATTCAAATCCAAGGCAGTATCAGGATTATTCATCTCTCTACTGGGTTCCAGGTCTGAGCAGTGAAGAGCTTGGCCATGGGGGATTTTATTAAACAGAAACGCCCTATGAGTTTAACACAGAGGAACAATCACCAACTACTTTTGATATGCTCAAAGGTAAAATGCTACAGCTCCTACAATATGAAATCTGCAACTCAGGAAGACCTATAAACTCAGGTCTAGTCTTAGATACCAGTGGAGCAGTAGTCACCTCTCAGTGTGTTTGTGGGATCTCATCAGACAGTTCTACTGGCACTAAAATTGTGTTGTGAACTTTGATAACCTTTTTTTTTCTGCTCAATTTTTTTCTTCTTCAATAATTAAAATTATAGATGAAAGTAGCAGGAGACAGTCAGGGTTGAGCACAGAAGCATTCACTTACAAAATCCCCCCATGCACTTAGGAATGCAGTTATTTCTTTTATCTATTCAGATAATCAGATCCTTTCAGATAATGAGAGGGCTGTGCAGTTTTAACTTAGCTTGTGTTGGTGGAGGAGCGCGATGCTGCGAGAGGAGCGCCTGCACCCAAGCAGTTCATCCCCTGTGAGTGCCTGCCCCAGCCGGCAGTGCTTAGAGCACAGCCTCGCGGGGAAATCCTCCTGGAGTTGGTACCCTGCTAGAAATGACCTCTTCCTGCCTGAGCACAGCCTGAAACTGGGAATATAACTGTGGGAAACATGCCTTTTTCAGGGGAGTGATGCTACTCTGAAAAGGGATTTACCCCATCAATAGACCTCCCCAGGGATCCGTAGCTCAAGAAAGATGCTCCCTGCAGCCCCTCCAAGTACCTCACGGGGACCGTAGCAGAGACAAAAATAAGTTGTCCTGAATTAAATTAATTTCTGAGCTTGTGTCAGGATAGCAGAGCTACCTCACAGGTCAGGTCTGCAAGGACTTCCCACAAAACAGAAGCCACTTCATTAAAGTTGGTCATTCACTACTGTGATAAAGTAATTAAAGCCTCCTGATTGCTTTTTCCCCCTGCTGCTCCTTCTCTACTACAAACATGAAGGCTCTGGTATAGATGGAGCTGTTGACACTTTGTCAGTGAAAATCCAGAGCTGTGCGACTAAGAGAAGTGTTTTATGGGGACTATAAATAGTTTTGCATTAAAGCAAATGTATTCTCCCACCTAAAATAGATTCACCTTGCAAACAGCTAAAGGACAGTTTCAGCGCCAGAGGAACACCTTCAGTCTCCCCTCAGGAGACAGAAACAGCCTTTTTCCCCTGAAAGAGCAAACAACAGCAGTGGAAATGCCTCTGCGGCCACCCCCCCACCCTCCCTTCCTTCCTGTTCCCCACTGCCTGCTAGCATCCCTCTGTACTTAGGTGCCATCCTGGGAGACCACCCAGCATCCTTACACCAAAAAGGGATGTTAATTAATCCAAGTAACTTTTCCAATCATTTTTTACTAGATGCTTGCAACATGCATGCTCATTATATGGGTGAAAGGGATGAGAAAACTTTGGGGAGAGGGAGCAACGACTTCCCACGATCACTCAGAGCAGTGGGTTGCTTCTCCTTTGCTCCAAAGGGAATCATGCATTCAGACAATGCAAACATCCTCTCTGCCAGGGCTGCAATGTGTTAACAACACTCTCCTCTTGCTGCCAGAGCATAATTTCATTCCCTGTGGAGAAACGCGGGTGCTGGTGATGGGGAAGACAAGGAGATGTTAGAAGAGAAATTATATTTTTAACTCACCTTGAGGCTGTGTGTTGGGTTGACGACGCAGACAAGTTGCCCGGCAGCTGAGAAAACCCTCTTTGCCTTGTAGTGCTGAAACCGCAGGTGAATAAGATCTAACACAGCCCCAAAGCACTGGGTGAAGAAAAGCATCACAACTTTTGGCGTTGCTGCTGCTGCTGCTGCTGCTGCTGCTGCTGCTGCTGCTGCTGTTGCTGCTGCTGCTGCTGGCAGTGGGCAGGGGAAACAGCCAGGGAGCCCCTGAGTCCTTGAGCCCGGGGAGGGAGTGCAGTTGGCGAGAGCTACTCTCCGGCACAGCTTAGCATGCCTTCATATTCATCATCAAAATAAGACGGGAAGAGGCTTGCAGCAGCGGGGCGGCCAATGGAAAGGACAGAAATGTTATCCTTGAGGTCCGGAGACAGCCAATAACAAATGCCTCCCCTCCAGAAACTCCCTGATGAATTGAGCCTGGTGGAGAATGTATTATTGAACATTACCATACATCAGCACATTGCATTTATCTTGTGATTACAGCCAGTCATACGTAAGGCTGTGGAGATATGCAGGCAAAATTGATTGCTTAACATCTCCATTTATTAATTGCCTTAATTTAACAAAGGAGCACTCGGATACCAAAGCTACATGTAAGGCATAAGGAAGAAGCCCAACAGTGAAACTGTTAGAAAGTAGCAAAAATAGGTTAAGCAGACTGTGTTTTTACTGAGGGAGAAAAATCAAATATGCAAAGAGAGTCACAGTTCCTTGCAGCGGTTAAGCAGAAGTAGAGCTTGCTACATAAATAGATTTGCGTCTGTGCATTCACAGGCTTCAATTTGGATTTTCACCACTCTGAAGTTTTCTAAATTTTATATTCTGCTACTTCACAGGGGTGTCAGCACACAAATAACATTTCCCCCATCACTAAAAATAGGAGAGATCAGGTCTCCGGTCTGGTGTAACTTGGAATAACTCCATTTAGAGTCAGTCATGTTTTCCTGATTTACACTTGCCGGTGTAAATCAGGTCTGATCAGGTCTGTTGGACACAAAGCATGGTAATTACTGCATGCTAGAGCTATGAGAGCATAAAAAGGCACAGAGCATACTTCTAAAAATAATGAAATATGTGATGCATGAGAGCACACACAGAGAGAAACTTGCACTGAGGGAAAAGTGACTTCTAAACCAACAGAATAATTAAACATGCAGAAGGCTTTTGCTTGTCATTCATCTGTATATCGGTGAGCAGGAAATTACAAATTAGCCATTAGATAGTCCTAGACATTAAAAAGGAATTAGGGAAGTGCAACGAAAATAAACACGCTTTTACGTATTATTACCAGTGCGTATCTCTGTTGGTGGGCAGGGATCCCTCTCGAGCCATTGAGTCTCATTAAACTTGAGTCTCTGTAACTGGGTTTTCCAGGAGGTGACTGCAGCTGAGGGACTCAGAAAGCACATTCATTTCGTGGGACAATCCTGTGTGATATGTTGCTGTGCTTGTTAATAAATCAAAGAGAGTTAATTTAATTAGCTCTCTGCCAGAACTTCCTATCAGGGTGCTATTTAGGCTTGCTAGCTAAGTACTCAGATGGCTTATTTAGCCTTGGTAATCCTTTTTCCCTTCAAAGCAGAACAGAGAAAAGTAGCTTTTCTTTCATTTTTTTTTCTTCCTTTTAAATGTGAGCCCCATGCTGGGGGTGACACTGCTGCTGCTGTGGACAGAGCAGCCCCTGTACAGCGCAGGAATTAGCCAGGGACTGTATTGTCACAACTGCCTCTTCCTAAATCAATACTGCAATCCTGGTTCTGCCAGACTGCAGAGAGCTTGTGTATAAAAAAAAAAAAAAAAAAAAAAGGCCTGAGTAGATAAATAAGTGAAAATTGTGAATGCTGGAACAGCTGATTACACAAGCCCCCAAAAAACATTAAGGATGGAAGGAATATGTATCTCTTAGTTCTTAACATTTGGTTGTAAATGAAAACCAGAGATAATTATTGCAGTGCTGTGTGACACTTTGAGAATATTTTCAGACAGACTTGAGGACAAGTGAATGAATTTATTTGCTTAAATGTATTTTTTTTCCATTCCCAAAGTAACTGTGAGCATCCATCTATTTATTATTTGTTTCTTCGTGATTTGTAGTTGGTAGATGCACAAACACTTTATACTAGGAAATTTCAGTCTGCAAGTTACCAGTGCAAGTATTCTGCCTTAAATGAGCAAAAGGTCCTTGCTATTTACTCTGGTTATTGCCACCTGAATCCCTGGAGATTAATTCTGTTAGACTGATTGACTCAACTGAATGCCTAGACTTGGGGGCACCACCATATCCTTGGGCAGCAGAGGTGGAACCTCTCATCCCTGCTGTCCAGCTAGTCTCAGGACTTTGGTAATTCCACCACCCAGTCCTCTTGGGACCCAGCTGCCTTCTGGGGATTGGCAGGAGAGGTGTCCCTGATCCCACAGGTGCACAGGAGCATCTTCAACCTAAATATATATCCATGCCTCTGGGCTAGTATACAAAAAGGGTTATTGTTCTCCAAAGCAAAGACTACCTTCAGGGATGGTGAGGGACCTTTGCAATGCCCAAATCCCTGTATACATCTGTGCCCATCTTGCTTGCTATATGTGACCTTCCAAGGAGCAACTCTCTGACACCAATATTTGTGAAAAAGGATGAAAATGAGCATTCAGTGCATCGAAGGTGACTCCTGCTCAGTGCATGAGTTCATGTTCATCGTGGCACTCTTTGAAATTGTTTTACTGCCCATATTTTGTCCAGAGATCTACACACAAGGAAATGCTTATGGCATTTCAACACAGAACTTAGCACCTGCTTCACAACGGACCCAACACCCACTGAGCCAAAGCAACTGGCTGTGCACACAGCTTCACTTGCAAACAAAAGCTCAGCAGTGTGGTGTCACATGCGTGTGTAGCTCCAATTCTTTCTTCTACTTCCGTACACAGAGGCTCTTGGCCAGCATAACTCTGTTAATTGGACTTCGTGGTGGTCTCATCCAGGTTTGGGGATGCAAGGTCTGCTAACCCTACCTGGCCTCAAACCTTGGAGCACGTCCTTGATGGCATTATTGAGCTGTATGGGGGCAGCCAGAGAGAGGAGGAACAAGTTCATGTGCAAAGGGCACTTGGTGAATCCCATTAAACTGCTGGTTGCAAATTTCCTGTGACTGCAGCCATTATTTCCAAGATGGTTTATTCTGTAACAGGCAAGTGTGAAGTGGCAGAAGTCCACACGCTAAATCTCCATTAGAATCCAGATTTTGCCAAATTAGCAGCTCAAGTGGCATCACTGTAATACGTATGGGATTACAATGCTCTAACAGCTCAGCTGCTGCTGCGACTGCATCAAGTTTACAAGGTAATAGGATCAGCTAGACATAAAAACTGACTGCAGCGGCAATAGCTTTCCAGTTTTTCAGTTTAACAGTTTTTCAGGTGAAGGGAAAACGCTCGTGGAAAACCTCAGGTGTCTAGGCACTGTGTGACTTGGCAGGAAGATAGCCTGAAAGATGCATTGCTCAGTCCAAGCCCAGCACGAAATTTTGGGTTTTAGTCAGTTTTTTTAATCTTTCTGGCTGGGCACTTGTGGGGGTGACCTTCCTACATGATGCCCTCTCTCACTTCCTGCTCTGCCAGACACCACAGATGTAGCAAACCCAAGCTCCTTCTCTTCCTATCTGTATATTTTGCTGACACCCATCGGATGATTTCCATGCAGCTGGTACTAGACTGCTCACCAATACTAACAGCCATAGGAGAAACGTAACCTGCCTTGGACAACATCGGCAGTAGTCATTATCCCAAGAACAGGAGAGGCAGATGCTGCTCAGGGTATCACAATTGTCCATTCAGGCAGCTAACCAGCCTGCTTGTGTGTCCATGTTTCTGACTGTTGGTAGGATTTCTGGCAAGGCTGGCTGGTGTGGGAGGTACTCTGGCTCCACTATTTATATTTCCTTGGGAAAGGAGCCAGACCAATCTAACCAGCCCTGCCCTCTAGCAGGGGCAGCCCGCATGGGCACCTTGGCACAGGGAAGGACCCCTCTTACATTTTCATCCTCACCTTCTAGGGATGCTAACTGGCTGTTTAAACGTGTCACTGCCTCCATCTAGCTAAGGTTCATTTTCTGTCTGGCCAGGGGCTGGAGGAGCAGGATCCATGCCAGTTAGGCACTGCTCCCTTGACTGTCTACATCTGAGAGCATCAGCCCAGCTCCTTTTATAGTCCTTTATACTGGGGGGAATAGGGCACACTGAGGATGCATTTCCTTTGACCTGATTGGGGCATCAGGCAGTTTTCTGCATCCTTTGAATGTACAAAGCTTCGTGTGCTCTCCGAGGTCTCACAGCAGGTTTTGAAGAGAGATGTTTGCACTGTTAGTTATCATTTTCCTCTGTTGTCTTTTAAGCAAGAACATAAGAAAAGTCTCACTAGTTCAGCGCAATGATCCCTCCAGCTCAGCATCCTGTCCACAACAGTGATTACAGGAGAGGCCATTTTGAGTTGGCTCATGGGCAGGGACCACCACCTGCTGTCCATTCTCCTGGTATTCCCTAAGCACTTACAAGTGTCATCTTGTGGCATTAGAGAGCACAGCTCTAGGGAAGCAGAACCTTTTGGAAGAAGAAGCAACTTTTAAAACTGGCAGAAGAGTTGTAGCCCTCCTGGCTGCCCCCTGTAAAGCACATGTCACTTCATACTGACTGCTTTGTGCTTTGATTGGAGCCCATCCTTTCCAAAAAGCCTGGCTTTGAAGATTCCTTTGAAGGAGACCGGTGGTACCTCCTGCTAAGTTCTAAGTTCTTCCAAAGATTATTTATCTTCACCACTAGCATTTTTTTAATCTTCTTTCCAGCCTGAATTATTTTCCTGCATGAGCATCTGCCTTCATAAAGTCATTGTGCTTTCCCTCACTGAGCTGGGGCAGCCTTTCTCATCACAGACTTTCTTCATGTGAAGACATAGTTTTGCCTAAAACCTCCATCAGCAAACCCAATAGACAGATAGGGTTTCCTTTGCAAAGCATCTTTCTTGCCCAAGACCAGGTTACTCTTGCAGTTTCTCTATGCATGTTTCTCTATCTCCTCCTCCCCTCTTGTTGAGCCTTACCTGCTTCTCACCTCCAATGAGTACAGAAGCAAAAAGACCCATTTGGCTCACAGCGTCATGATGCTCTGGTTATAGGCATGACGTCTTCTCCTTTGGATCTCCATTCCCACACTTCCACTTCACTTGCAAGACAGATTTGACACCACTCAGTGCAGCCACAAGGGAGCTGGAGCTGCCTGTGGACAGAGAGGACAACTGCGGACCTCCCTGGAAAATGCATGGAGGTGCTCCTTTTTGAACATCAGCAGATTTTTTTTCCTGTTTTTAAAA